GCATGCATCGCTTCAAGGCCGGGACAGTGTGGCCGAGCAGATGGCTATGTGCTAGAGGGCAAAGAATTGGAGTTCTATCTTAGAAAAATCAAGGCCCGGAAAGGCAAATAAATCCTTGTTTTCTTTCTTCACCCATGTAATAAAGGTGTTTATTGTTCTGTTCACACATTTGTGTTGCCTGAGTATTTGTTTCTCTGCTTTTCTTCTTGGCCCTGCAAAATGGATGAGATACGGTGGCTGCAACCCCTTGCCTTACCTCTCCCTCCTACTGTCCTGATCCAGGCTCCCCACACTATAAAGTCCCTGTTCTCAACTCCATCTCCCCAAAGGCCAGATTTATTATGTAGGCTATGTCTGTAATGGAGGAACATTTCTCCACATTTTGGTGGGACTAGGGATGTTGCAGAGGCTACAAGAGGGGTATCTCAACCTTGGGGTTCAATTAATTGTGTGCTGAGTCAGAATCTCAGGCTATGTTGCATCTATAAAGTTGTAAGGATCCTGCATCCATTGTAAGATTACCAGTGATTTCTGCCTTGCTTGGTCTCCCAAGGGTCACTTCTTTGACCTAAACTTGCCCTGTCAAACCCTTAACTTTAGTCCTGACCTGCTAGACATCTGCACTTGGATTTGTTTGTTTGTTTGAGACAGTCTCTGTCAACCAGGCTGGAGTGCAGTGGCATGATCATGATTCACTGCAGCCTTGACATCTGGGCTCAAGTAATTCTGTGCCAGACTCCCAAGTAGCTGAGACTATAGGCACATGCCACTACACCTATTGTTTATTTATTCGGTAGAGACAGGGCTTCATTTCATTGCCCAGGTCTTGAAATCCTGGGCTTAAGTAATCTTCTCACCTTTGTTCCCAAAATGCTGGGTGTCAGGCATGAGCCATGACACCCAGCTTTGCACTTGGGTTTTGTTTTTTGGATTTTTTTGACGACAGTCACTCGGTTGCCCAGGCTGCATAGCAGTGGTGTGCAATCTTGGCTTACGGCAACCTCCACCTCCTGGGTTCAAGCAATTCTCATGCTTCAGCCCTCTGAGTAGCTGATATTACAGGCATGCACTGCCATGCCCAAGTAATGTTTTGTATTTTTAGTAGAGAGGGTTTCACTGTTGGCTAGGGTGGTCTCCAACTCCTGTTCTCAAGTAATCCACCTGCCTTGGCCTCACAAAGTGCTGAAATTATAGGCATGGGCGACCATGCCTAGCTTTGCGCTTAGATATTGTAATAGGGCTCTCAAAGGCCAACGTTTTCAAAACTGGTATCTTGTCTGCTCCCACTTGCCATGTTCCTCAGTTTCAAGAGTCAGGGTCTCACACTTTTGGCCAGGCTAGAGTGCAGTGGAGTGATCATTGCTCAATACAGCCTCAGTCTACTGAGTAGATGGGACTACAGCTATGGTGCAGGGCCCAGAATGATCATTTTCTTATAGAGATGGGTTTTCATGTTTCCCAGGCTAACCCTGAGCTCCTGGGCTCTAGCAATCCTGCCTTGGTCTCCCAAAGTGCTGGGGTTATACATGTGAGGCACCACACCCAGCCAAAAGTATTTTTTTTTTCAGTTGGAGTCTAGCTCTGTCACCCAGGCTAGAGTGCAGTGGCGGGATCTCAGCTCACTGCAACCTCTGCCTCCCAAGTTCAAGCAAATCTCTGCTTCAGCCTCCCAAGTAGCTGGGATTACAGGGGCCCACCACCACCACCACGCCCAGCTAATTTTTTTGTATTTTTAGTAGAGATGGGGTTTCACCATCTTGGCCAGGCTGGTCTTGAACTCCTGACCTTGTGATCCACCTGCCTCGGCCTCCCAAAGTGCTAGAATTACGGGTGTGAGCCACCATACCTGGCCTCAAGATTATATTTTTAATGTAACAGCTTCCTATCTCATCAATGAAAATCCTTATCAAGTATGACAATGATCTAGCTCCTATAGTGACTCCCTCCATCAACCACACAACCATCCTGGCTTAGTGAACATACATGTACACATGCTATGCCCTTTGCTAGGCACATGCCTTCAAATATCCACCTGGGGCTGGACGCTGGGCATGGTGGCTTATGCCTGTAATTCCAGTACTTTGGGAGGCTTGCTTGAGGCCAGGAGATTGAGACCAACCTGGGCAACAAAGTGAGACCCTGTCTCTAAAAAAAAAAGAAAAAAAACCTGGTTCATTCCCCTCCAGGTCCTTGCTATGTCACCGTAGTGAGTTCTTGCCAGATCACAATATTTTAAGTTGCAGTTGCCCCCTCCAAACTGTCTCATACTTTGCCGATTTTTTCTCTTTATTCCTTAATCTGACAAAGTTTGCTTTCTTCCCTTTGGAATGTTACTTCAGGGAAATGAGGTTGTTTCCTGCTGTGTCTCTGGCACCTGGAAAAGTGTATGGACATATACCAGGTACTCGAATATATGCAAGATTAATTGGGAAAAAAGTCAAGATTTTATTAAGTTTGGCCAGTTTGGGAGGCTGAGGTGGACGGATCACTTGAGGTCAGAAGTTAAAACCAGCCTGGCCAACATGGTGAAACCCATCTCTACTAAAGATATAAAAAATTATTGGGGCATGGTGGCACAGATCTGTAATCCCAGTTATTCAGGAGGCTGAGGCATGAGAATTGCTTGAACCCAGGGAGGCAGAGGTTGCAGTGAGCCAAGATATGTTCGTAAAACCAATGGGTTCTTTCTCTAAAGTCTTGAAATCCGTCTACTCTCCATTTCTACCACTTTCACAGATGACTGTTCTCACCATGGAACAAGGCCTGTAAAAGCTGCCCCAAAAAAATCTTCAGATGCCTTCTGAATGAATGGCATTGTGGGGTGCTACTGTCTCCACATTATAGATTTGGAAACTGTGGCTTAGTTAGAAATATTCACTATCCCGTGGACATACAGATGGAAAGAAGCAAAGCCAGCATTAGAATCCAGTCAACTGACCCTGCCAGAGGCTGGAGTCTACTCACTGCACTCTAGTGTCCCCCTCTGTCTTCGTCCTTTGTTCTGGGATTTATTCTGTGGCCTTCATATTCAGTTTTGGCCTTCACTGATTTCTTTTGGTGGAGACTGGGACTTAGAAGGCAGCAATCTTAGAGGAGCACAGTTTTACCACAATTCCAATGTAGTGCTCTGTGGGAGACTATTTCCAGAAGGTTTTTTTTTTTTTTCATTTTCGGAAACAGAGTCTGGCTCTAACAGGGCTGGAGTGCAGTGGTGTGATCTTGGCTCACTGCAACCTCCGTCTCCCAGGTTCAGGCAATTCTTGCGCCTCAGCCTCCCAAGCAGCTGGCATTACAGACATCCACCACCACAATCAGCTGATTTTTGTATTTTTAGTAAAGACAGCATTTCACCATGTTGGCCAAGCTGGTCTCTAACTCCTGTCCTCTGGTGATCCGCCCACCTTGGTCTCCCAAAGTGTTGGGATTACAGGCGTAAGCCACTGTGCCTGACCTCAGAAGGCTCTTTTCTTACATCAGCGGAGTGCCCCCAGTGCTGCAGGTGCACCATGGAGATGGGCCTGGGCTTCCACCCATAAACTGTACTTTTTCCCCCTGTGTGGTTGGTGGGAGTGGAGAAGAGCTTGGCACATTCAAGTCCCAATGCTAGGTCTAGGGTGGGTGCTGGATGGCTGCCTTCACATCTGACTTTAATCAGCTCCAAAACAGATTCCCAAACCCTTCCTTCCTTCATCTTCATCCCACTGGACCCATGCCAATTCAATTTTAAACAATTATAACTGCACAAATAATAAATATATTCTGTGTAAACAAAAACAAAAGTTAAAAACTTGAATATATTCCCAATGTGAACAAAAACTTGAACATTACAGATAAGGCAGAAGTCCCCCAGCACACAGGGATGCCTCTTCTGAGTAAGGTATACCCCTCCAAGTACTGCTTCACGTGACTCTCAGATTGTGTTTCCTGGACCAGCAGCACAGCGTCACCTGGGAACTTGTTAGAAATGCAAGTTATCGGGCATCATTCCAAATCTAATGCACTCTTTTGACAAGAGCTTCAGTGATGCTGATCCTACCTCAAGTTTGAAAACCGCTGGCCTAGCTCCCCGTTGCTGTGAAGCTAACAGTACACCTGGGCTCTAGTCCTCTGTGCCTAGGCTTTTATTTTTCTAGTTTGACCTCCCCCAAGCAACCCATCCAACCTTCTCTACCACCAAAGTGGACACATTCCCAGCCCTGGCTCAGGCCCCTCCTGCCATCTTCTTTTTCAAGTTCTGTCCCTAAATGCTTTGGCCTTCAAGGCACTCAGGAAAAGCTGCTCTAATAGAACTGGCTGGCAGGACCGCGCATGGCAGGGAAGGGGGGCAGTGAGTGGGGGGAAGCAGGCAGGGGCAGGCGAGACCTCAAGGCTCCAAGGCCTCGTCCCCGGACTCCGCCGCCTCTTCTTCGATGCGGGATGCGGCCTCGGGGTCTCCGCCCTCCTCGGCCCGGAGGCGAAGCAGATGCGGAGTGCGGGGGGTGCCTCGCGCGCGGCCGAAGTTCCGGAGGCTGATGGCCGGGGAGGGCGCCCCTGCGCCCAGGAAGCGGCCGAGCAGCGGGGTCTGCGCGGCGGGCGCCAGCCGACCAGACGCGGGCGACGCTTCCACCTGCAGGCTCTGCTCAGGGTCGTCGCTCATGCTGCGGGGGAGAAAGCGGGCTGAGCGGGGTCACAGGGCGGGCGGGAGACGCGGGATTGGCTCTCGGGGAGGGACCGAGGCATCGGTGTCCCAGAGGCTGAGCGGGGACACGCGTGCCGGGTCAGGTGCGGTCTCCGCCGGCTCGGGCCACTCACCGCAGGTTGAAGGTGGAGCCCAGGAAGGAGGGCCGCAGAGACTCGGCCGCCGTGGCCACAGTGTAGGGTGGCTGCGGCTGGTCCTCATCCCAGTACTGGTCCTTCTCGGCTGGGGGCAGGTTCTGGTACATTTCGTCCACGGATAGCAGGGACACCTGGGTCAGCAGCAAGTTACAAGGATCCTCCTCTCGTTTCCTTCCCACGGAGGGGCTGAGAGCTGACCCAGAGAGGGAGCCCAGGAGCTGTCCCCGACTCCTGATCCTTGCTCACCTGCAAGTTTCGGTCTATGAGCTGGTTTGTCTCAAAGTCGTCATCGTCCTCACCAAATGGGTTGATGATCTGTTCAGCCACCTGTAGGTGGCAGAGACAGTGTTTTCTGGGCTCAGAGCCCCACATTTTTTCCCCCAAAGTTGGGGCAGACCCTGTGCCCACATCTCTACAGAGCAGGCTGGCATGCCCATCTGCAGTGCCCACCTTGAGCCAGCCAGCATAGAAGAAGAACTGCAGTAGAGTGGTGAGAGGCACATACATGTCCAGGTCTCCCAGGGCCGGGGCTGGCTCCTGGCCTGACTCCAGAGGCTTCTGAGGTTTGGCAGCCCCTGCCTCTGGCTCCACAAACTGGCGGCCAACCAGGGAGAGGCCAAAGAAGGAGTAGACGGCTATGGTCACCACCTGGAGAAGAGCCAGGCTCAGAGCAGGGTGCAGCGGGACAGGGAGAAATGCTGCCCCTGCCTATGAGGCTCTATGGGAAGTCTGACAAGTAATTAAATATGTATCCTGGTGTGGCAGCACCAGTGGGGACAGAGTCACCTTGGTGGGGCTGGAGGAAGGCTTTGAGGATGAACCCAATGCCTCAGGGGATTGAAATGGCCAGGCAAGTACCATCTCTAATTCTTCTCATCTCACACACGGCACAGGACATATGGTAGGCACTGGGACTGGGGAGAGGAGAGGCAATTACTTGGGTGTAGACGAGGGGGATGCTGATCCAGTCATAGTGGAATAGCATGCTGCACTTGGCTCGGTACTTGTTCAGCTCCTGGGGGAACGGCAGGAACAGGAAGACAGCAGAGGTGAGGAAGGAACAGGGGTGCCCAGCACAAACTAGGCGTGGCCCGGCCAGGAGGCTCATTCTCATTCTGCCCTCAGAGGTGTATTAGACTGGGGAGCTTGAATCCCAGCTCTGCTAACTAGCTGTGTAACTTAGGCAAGTTTCATTTCCACTCTGTGCCTCCGTTTCCACATCCGTACAAGGAGGATGGTAGTACCTATCTCAAAAGTTGCTGTAAGGGATGAATGAGTTAACATAGCTACAGTGCTTCCAAAAGGCCGGAGTACACCGTTGGTGCCATACAAGTGTTAAGCACAAAAATTATTAGTCATCTTCAAAATAAGAGGGAGGAGGGCAGATGGGTCTGGTCCGGAGCTGACTCACTTCCAAAAGTAGACAGAGAGCGATGTCGTCACGGATTCGCCCGTCCCTCCGGGCCTGGGCCGCTAGGTTGGTGAACCAGACACAGGGCACCCAGTATTTGTTGAAGTCGGATTTCAGGCTCTCAAACTTTTTCCTCTCTTCCTGCGACATGAAACCTGCGAGGGTAAAGCGGGTGGGGTGCAGTTGCACCCTCTGCCGCCAGGGGAGGCTGCTGTTCCGCTGTCGGGTTGCCCTCCCTCGCGTCCACCGGCAGTCCCAGGACTCGCGGTTCCGCGTTCTGGTCGCGGTCCAGACCCTTCCCTGGAGGGCCCTACTCCCAGGACTCTCCCAAGCAGCACCTGCATCCGGCCGTGGGCCGGCCCCCCAGAGGCTCCCGGCGAGCGGCGCACCTGCGTCCACCACGTGCTCCATGGTGGGGAAGCGCTTGAGCACGCGGGTGCTGACCGAGCGCAGCACCAGCACGGACGCCAGGTTCGCGTAGCGGATGAGGGTGCGACGCAGCAGGCGGCCCCGCTGGTCCACGCCGTGCACGCTGGCCGAGATGACGCACATCAGCTGGTCTGGCAGCGGGATGCTTGTGTACTGAGACCACCAGCGGTTCACCACCAGAGTCACATAGAAACCTGCTTGGCCGCCATGGTAGTGGGAATAGGAAGGGAAGGTGGAGAGCCTGGAAGTCGCAGCGCCTCGCCTCCCCCAGCAGAGGGCCTGGTCCAGGCCAGTTGAATCGGGGCAGGGGGACGGAAATATTTGGCTCCAGTGCCCTGCCATGCCAGACCGGGAGGAGGGAGGAGGGCAAACTTCCTCCAGCAGAGGGAAAGTGGGGGTTCAAAGCCAGGAGACTGCTTCCCAGGAGGGTGGGAAAGGGGTTGTCACCTCTGTCCAGCTCCCCTCTAGTGCCCAGGGTGGGCTTGTGAAGCCAGCGTGTGTCTTGTGCCTTGCTGGAAGTGAGGGTCCGGGAAGTGATAGGGCCCTGCCCTCCGGAAGCCCTGGACCCAGCACCCAGCTCCTGTGCCTGCTGGGCCTGCTCTGGCTGACCAGGCTCTGCCACTCTGTTGAGTGATTCTTTTTTTTTTTTTTAGGGGAGTCTTGCTACATTTCCGAGGCTGGACTGGAACTCCTGGGCTCAAGCGATCCTCTCACCTCAGCCTCTTGAGTAGCTGAGACTGCAGGTGCACCACCACACCATCTGTTGGATAATTCTGACCCTCGGAGCTGTCAACCCAACCCAGAGGTCAGGGAAGACAGTAAGGAATATACAGGAAAAACTAGAAGGGGGCCTTACCCAGTACAAAGGACAAGGGGATGAGGTTCGCTGAGCGGTTGCAGTACCGGGCCACCTGAGCATACACGTGCCTCTGCTCCTGGGTCAGTAGCAGCCTGGGGAAGGCAGATGTAGGCTTGGGTTAGAGGGAGGTGGGTGGCCCAGTCTCCCCGCTTCTGGAAGCTCTAAGAGCCTACCCTTACCGGTAGATGATGCTAAGCACAGCGTACAAGGCCACAAAGAGGAAGAATTCCTTGTAGAGGAGCTTGTAGATGCTTCCCCTCCATCGGAGAAGCAGTCCAGAGAAACCCCCAAAGCGGGCCTCTGCCACTTTGAGAGTGTATGAAACCGTCATGGTGCTGGGAGCCTGGGGCAGGAGGTAACAAGAGTTGCCCCCAGGGCTGTCCTTTAGTTCCCCAGACAACCTCCCTTCCACTCTGGTCTCACACACCCCAGCCTTCACCCTGCATCAGTGGACAAGAGGGTAGGAGCCTGCAGAGCAGAAAAGCACACCCCATCCCTTGCAGAACTCAGCAGTACATGGCAAAGCCAGGCTAGAGTTGGGCAAGGTAGAACTGAGATCTATGTCCCTTCATGCATGAGGCTTCCTCAAGCTCCTCTTCAGTCTGCAGGGCTAGGGATAACCAGATCCTGAACTGCTGCAGACAAGAGACACAGCTCCAGCCCAAACCCACTGCTATTCCTTGGAGCTTTGCTCTGGAAGCTGATTAACTAGTCTACCAAGGCCCAGGGCACTCCTACCCCCCATCCCATACCTGCCTGCCTGCTCTGGGCAGCAGCCGTGTGGAGGAAGAACTGGGCTAGACTTCACCCCCCACAGACTTAAGTACCTCTGGGATCTATAAAGTCAGGCTGGACTGAGGCCTATCACTGATGGATTGAAGCTGTCATCCAGCTTCCCCTGGTGCTGGGAACTAGGTGTGTCTCCCTACCCCTGTAGGGCTGGGCTGGCCTTTGAGTGGCAGTAATGCCACCTATAATGACCCCACAGCTCACACAGACAACACCATGCCCTTCGAGCCAGTATGGCAGGAATTACTGTCCCACGTTTCAGGTGGGAAGACAGATGCATGATAAACTGTTATAATAATACCAGCTGCTGATTACAGAGCACTGACTAAGTGATGGGCACCATGCCAAGGGCACTACTATGTTATCCTCTCATGAAATCCTCATCACAGCCCCATAAGGTAGGAATCAATCTTCCGCATTTCACAGATGAGGCTTCAAGAGATAAATGACTTGCCCACGGTTGGCCACACAGCTAGCATATGTTGGAGGCAGGATTCAAAGCCAGGGCTGATGGACTTCCAACGCTGGGAGTGGCCTGGCAAGGGCATGAGCTCCAGAACCCATCCTGTGCACTGGCCACACTCCCAGGCTTCTTGTCCAGGCTCTGGGGGTCTTGGCCAGGCTCTTCCCCATCCATGCCACAGGGCTGGCAGCCACAGATCTGGAAGTTCAGGATAGGAGTGCGGGCCCTGTGTCCAACATCCTGACTCCTAGGGGTGCCCAGGATTTGAATGGCCACTTTCACCTCTGGGCTTCAATTTCTTCATCTGTCAAACAGAGGAAGTAATACCTAAGGTGCCGATAGAACCTCTCCCACCAGGCGCAGTGGCTTACCCCTGTAATCCTAGCACGTTGGGCGGCCAAGAGGTAGGCAGTTCACTTGAGGTCAGGAGTTAGAGACCAGCCTGGCCTAACATGGTGAAACCCTGTCTCTACTAAAAATACAAAAATTAGCCAGGCGGCACGCACCTGTAATCCCAGGTACGTGGGAGGCTGAGGCAGGAGAATCGCTTAAACCCAGGGAGGCAGAGGTTGCAATGAGCCAAGATTGTGCCACTGCACTCTAGCCTGGGCCAGGCAAGTACCATCACTAATTCTCTGAAAGAAAAAGAAATAGAATCTCAATGGGAGAATCACTTGAACCCAGGAAGTGGAGGTTGCTGTGAGCTGAGATTGCGCCACTGCACTCCAGCCTGGGTGACAGAGCAAGTCTCTGTC